TTTTTTTAAAAAAAAAATCAGAACAAAAGCATTTTCCCATGGGAAGGATTCTTTATAATTAATTCCAAAATCTTTCTAAAATCAAAGTTTTAATCACCCATTTGCTGTTTATTCCAAAAATCCTTTTTTTAAAAGTCTTTAAACTTGTATTTAAAACTTCTTTCACTAAGGATTGAAGGAAACTTACCCAGTGCTATAAACCCAGTCAATGCAAAGTTCCTAATAGCTGAAAAGCAGCCAACAAGCAATTTCCAAAAGTGATTAGAAAAGGAAGTATGTGAACCCAGTGTCCTTTTAAAGGTGTTGACTGTGGTTTGAGCAAAATGACTATTCCCACATCCCCCAGAGCTCTAAAGATGCCGGAGATCACTGTCTTGCAGTCTCCTCATGGGGAACAACTGTCTGGAGCACTTGTGAAGGATCTCAAGTCCTCCCCTTATCTGGAGAGGAATTACAAAGAGCCAGTCTACTCGCCAACTCTTCATTTCACCACAGTTGCTGGTTTCACTTTTTGTGGAGCTATCTTCAGTTCACCATTTCTTCCTCAGAAGTCCACACATTTAAGAGCCATTTCCAGAGCTTCAGGAAACTTCATACTATTTGTTCTGCTGTTGTTTTTATGGGGATTTTATGTTACATTTTGATTATTATTCTATAATGTTTTTTGTGCTGTTTTTTATTATATATGTTTTAACTGCACTGTATACCATTCAGATAACCAAGTAACTGGGTGGTTTAAAGCTAAATAATTAATAGAAGGGAAGATTGTTAAGTTGAGTTTATTGAGCATTGCTTGTGCCCTACAGAACCAAGGTCTTGTTCTTATTATGAGCTATTTCAGGATGTGTAAGCTAAAAATGTCAGTAGAAGGTTAGACATGCTGAGGTTTCTCCTTGAAAAGGGAACTTGCTTTTTGTATTTTTTTTTCTTGAGCCATATTCATTATTCATTTGTATTTCCAAAGTTATTCAAAGACCACAAATGAAAAACAACTCACTGCTGAAGTCCATAGAATAATATGTCTTTAGGACTACTACTGAGACCCTGTATGCTATCCCCAAAATACAATAAATATGGGAATAAAAACTAAAATATAAAATCCTCAAAACTGATGTGGTACTCTAAGTCCAACTGAGATTTTTAAACAATTACAGTGGCCTCTCAATCACAGCCTTTTGTAAAGTATAGATCTGACATTACTGCTGAGTCCTAATCAATATTTTTCAGAAAATGTCAAAGATACTAAATGCAAGACTTGAACAAATGGTTGTATCTCATTTTAAAGTTCCACATCAAGTCCATCTCCAAAGACATGGTAATGCAGTTTTCAGTTTCTATATTTGATTCTCTCTCTCTTTGTTAGTGTTGTTTGGCATTTCATACACATACACATCATACACATCACATCACATCCAAGGAATGAAGATCAGTGTGAACTTACTAATTTGCTTCTACTTTCCCAAATTTTGCTTAGTAGCATTCAGAAAAAAAATAAAGATACCCAAAGATGGGTATATTTAAATAATTGCTTCTGAGGATTTTTCAAGAAAATTTGCAGAATAAACAGTTAAGTTGAATAAAACCATGCATGAAAGATTTATCTATCCTTAGAAGATTAAACAATTGGACTACTCAGATTTTTTAAGAA